AAACAGCTCCGAAGTGATTGAGTCAGAGTTTGACGAATCAGCAGAGCCAGGCTATTCCTTCCGAGGCTGGCACTACGCAGCAGCAAAGCTCCACCTACCGGACAGCAAAGATGAGCGAGAAGCCTGTCTTGACACGGGAACCGGCATATCATTAATTGCAAGAGATTTCTTGAAAAGATATTACCCTAAGGCAAAGATCGAGAAGCGAGGCCAGTCAATTAATGTTAAAGGCATCGGGTCTGATGCATACCAATCAGATGAATTTACAACCATTCCACTGCAATTTACAGCAAAACTACCCAATGACAATAAGACAGTGCTTGTGAGCATCCCCTGCGAGCTTGCAATTGTACCAGCGCTCGGCGCCAACATCCTGATTGGGATTGACATGATGCGACGCCATAAGATTGACCTCAGCATTAGCGGCCAGCGAATTATGATAGGCGCGTGCCAGGATGCAACAGTCCAGGTCCGAATTCGTGCCAAAAAGGACTATGAGCGCTTCCATCCCGTGTACTCAAATACACAGGGATCAATTGTCATTCCTCCCAAATGGCAGGGTATCATTCCCGTTCGCTTCGGTGGAAAGCAATTACATGCAGATCAGGACTATATATTTAACCCCTCATACGATCGGGTCAGCATGTATTCGCACATCATCGATAAAGACACGACAGGAGTAAAAATAGTCAATCTGTCGTCACGCCCAGTGACGATTCCAAAAAACACGCGCATTGGCACCCTAACCGGCTTTGACGAGGTGTCTGCCAATCTCGCAGGTCCCGAAGCAGAGGCTCTCGCGCGGGTGGATCCCAAAAGCTTAATGCGACAGCGAGACCCCACTTCGAAGCTGGTCAACCCGGACGCCTTGCCGAATCTGACCAAGCTCGCCAATGGCGCTACCGTCTATGGCGATGAGGCCGCGGTTCGTGCCTTCGCAGCGGTCGTCAATCGATTCGATATTTGGGAAGATAAAGGTGGCTTTACCGACATTCCAGAAGAGGAATGGATGCGTATTCCCCTGAAGGCGAATTGGGAAGAGAAGATTGTCAGTATGCGCTTGGGCCGAGTCTATCCAGTTGGCCAAAGAGACCGTGAGATCATTGATGAGACGTTTGATAAGCTGCACGGTCAGGACCGTATGGATTGGGCGAAGAACCACACGCCAAGTGGATTTCCGGTTTTTGTTGTCCATCGATTGGTGCATAAAGATGGCAAATGGAAGGATCGATCCCGCGTGGTGATTGATATTCGGCCATTGAATAAGCTGTGTGAACCGGATATCTACCCCATGCCGCAGCAGCAGGAGATCATTGCCATGCTAGCCGGCAAGAAGTTCATCTCCGTCGTGGACGCCCTCGCATTCTTTTATCAATGGCGAATCTACGGACCGCATCAGAATCGCCTTGCCGTCGTGTCCCACCGCGGGCAAGAAATCTTGAAGGTCGCTCCCATGGGATTTCTCAATTCGGTCGCGTACGTGCAGCGCCAGCTAGATACAAAGCTTCGGCGCCATCGCCCGTACTGTCGCACCTATGTGGACGACATCGTGATCGCGTCGCGCACGCTCGATGAGCATGTGCAGCAGCTCGCGGATGTCTTTAGTGACCTAGAGCGCCTCCGCGTGACACTCGCCCCCGAGAAGGCCTATATTGGCTTCCCGAATGTAACCCTGTTAGGGCAGCGAGTGGACTCGCTCGGCATGAGCACCCCCGAAGAACGCCTCCAGGCACTCACCGATCTCGCGTTTCCAACCACCCTGTCGGAGCTGGAGACCTATCTCGGCCTCGCCGGAGTGATTCGGAACTACATTCCAGGCTATGCCTCCATAGTGGGCCCCCTAGAGGACCGAAAGCGCCTGCTATTGAAGCCAGGACCGAAAGCCGGCAAAGCGAGGCGTGCTTTCAGCAACGCAGCCAAAGTGTCAGAGCCTACGGCAGAAGAATTGGGCGCGTTTGAACAGCTTCGTGAAGCATGCAGCCGACACACCATGTTGGTGCACTTTAACCCAGAACGCCCCCTATTTATTGATCTAGACGCAGCTAAGCTGAACAACGGTTTTGGCGGCATGATTTACCATGTAAAGGATGATCTTGATTATCTTAAAGATGCTGCAGACACTAAAACAGCAATGCCCCCACCACCAAGAACCTTAATTGAGCCTATTTTATATCTGTCTCGTCGGCTCAATGAGCATGAACAGCGTTATTGGCCAACAGAATTAGAAGTGGCATGTCTGGTATGGATTCTGCGCAAGACCCGACACCTAGTAGAAGGCTGTTAGAAGGAGGTATTCACCTTTACAGACCACTCGGCCACCGTTGATATTGCGAAGCAGACCAGTCTCAGCTCCACGTCGACAGACCGTTTGAATCTCCGCCTGATCCAAGCCGCTGCCTATATTCAGCGCTTCCATAATCTCAAGGTATTCCATCGTCCAGGCAACACCAACGTCGTACCAGACGCGCTATCTCGTCTTGCGCGCCTGAATCCCCCAACCGAGGATTCCCCCATGTTGGAACAGCTGGACACGCTGTTTACTGAGCAAATCCCAGTCTTCAACACAGTTATCGTGGAACTAAGTGACAATTTTAAGAATCGTCTTATAGAGGGTTATGAGACTGATCCACACTACGCACCAATAATGGAACAGCTTGCAAGGAACGACGGTGCTGATCTGCCAGATCGCATTGATCTGCCCTATGAGATCACCGAAGATGGCCTGCTGTACTCAGTAACTCACCTGGACGAGCGCCGTCTAGTCATTCCCCAAGCACTGCATCATGAGGTCTTTCAGATGGCACATGACGATGCCAATCACTATGGCCTGCAGCGAAGCTTTGAGCGCCTCAACGGCCTGATTATGCATCGCATGAGGCGTCGCCTCAAGGAATATATTGACGCCTGTCCGGACTGCGAAGCCAATCAAACCCGCCGACACCGTCCCTACGGCGACCTGCAGCCAATTGTGGCGCCTCCAATCCCATTCCACACCATTACAATTGACTACGTTTTGGCCTTACCAATCACACGCGAAGGATTTGACTGTGTCATGACCGCTACAGACAAATTTACGAAATCAGTTGAAATCATCCCTGGCGCATCGACATGGGAAGCAAAGCACTGGGCAACCGCGCTATCAAAACGCCTATTGCTAGTAGGCTGGGGCATTCCACATGTTATTGTGTCAGACCGAGATCCCAAATTTCTCAGCGCCTTTTGGGAAGCATTTTTTAAAGCGCTCAACGTGAGCCTGCTGTACGCTGCAGCGTATCACTACCAAACCGATGGTGCGTCCGAACGGACCAACCAGGCACTGGAAATTGCACTCCGCTATTATTTCGCCTCGATGGATGACCCAACACGATGGCCAGAGATCATCCCGTATCTACAGGCGCAATGGGCCTCGACAATCTCGACAGCCACCGGCCAAACGCCAAATGAGCTGAAATTTGGCTTCCAGCCCACGCGCGCTCTCGATATTTTGGCAACAAATGTCAATAAGGTGCAGGACTTTTCATTGCGAATTGATGCAGCCGAATCAATTTCTCTAGCTCAAATGACGATGAAGCGTTTTTATGACGCCCGACATACTCCTAAATTCTTTAATAGGAAGGATAAGGTCATGTTACGCTTACACAAAGGCTATAACATCCCTGAAGTCGTGAACAAGAAGCTGTCACCCCAATATGCGGGCCCGTTTGAGGTGTTAGAACGCATCGGCAATCTCGCATATCGTCTCGACTTCCCCTCACGCTGGAATATCAACGACGTCATCTCGATTGCGCATCTCGAGCCGACCCATGCTGATCCATACAATCGGAACAAGAACTACCACCCAGATCATGTGGAAGGCATCGAGGGCGACACAGAGGATGTCAAATCATATGAGATTAGTCGACTCGTGGATAAGCGAGTTACGCAACGTCGAGGCAGACCGCCAACCATCCACTATCTAGTGCGCTGGACAGGCTACGGCCGTGAGCACGATGTCTGGTTACCCCTAAATAAGCTTCAAAACGCGCAGGAGCTCATTGAGGAGTACGAGGCTCAACGCCGCCCCCAACAGCGCCGCGGCAATCGGTTACCAGCCCGCAACGCCCCCATCCCCGTGCCCGCCATTGACGCTACGCAGCAGCCTGACGTCGACACTCTAGAGGCCACTCTGCCTGTGTCTACACCGGCTCCAGGATCGGCACCCGCATCAGCGCCGCGGAACGAGGACTCAGAATCAGTCAGCCCGCCAGTTTCCAGGCATGATGGCACTACATCTACGACTCGCGCTACACAAGGCACTCAGGCCAGTCGGTCACAGGCTGGTGCACCTGCCCGGCCTAACCCCCTACGAAGGCTTACCCGCGCTGCAGCAAGGCGCCTAGGCGTACAAGTTTGAAGAAAGTAAGGAGGGGGAGTATAGCTAAGTATTGATTTATTGATTTTACTTACAGATTGCTATTGATTTGAGAGCTCTACGTTTATTGATTACTTCTCACCTTTAGTCACTCATTATGCATGCCAATGAGGGAATTGGCTTTGAAAGAAAGGAGTGGCAGTGTCATGATCAAAGGGCTTTCACCATAGTGAAACCCTTCAGGCTATAGATAGATGTTCTTTGTATACCTTTGGCTATATATACGAGCCCTAGGTCCCTCTCATGTACGATAGAACAATCTTCCACACATATCCAGAATGCACACATGCCTTAGATTATAACATAAATACTCCCCTGACCGCGATAGAAGCATCCAAGCATCTAAGCATCTGTCGAAAACTACTCATTAAACTTCATGTCTTTCAAAATGAGCGAACGTATAACACTTCTACCTGCCAAATCCTTTGTGTTTGGAAAAGATGTTGGAGTTGTCGATCCTAAAGAGTCTATCCAAGCTTCTACAAAAACGACCAAACTTGAGCAACCATCATCCCAGCTTCCCAAAGGCTCTTAAATGGACAGAATTTTTGTTAGTTTTGGGAGTGAAAAGCCACAGGGGTATGATGGGATGGAAATGGGAAATGCCTCTCACCCGGTGATGTTTGTTAAGAAACTGAACCTTGTCGATATAAAAGAGCGATATAAAGCTCTAAAGAAAACATACCACGAGAATCTTGTGAACTTGATTGATATATCGCTTGGTCGAGATGCTGTTTACTTAGTCTATGAGCGAACGGGATTGTCTTTGAAGGAAATCAAAGCGCATGGACGAGTTCTGTTTGATGAAATTTCCGTGGCAACGATATGTAGAGAGGTTTCAAACCCTTCGAAATTCACTTAGATGGGAAACTGACAATGTTCATAGATGATACACGGATTGATATATATACATGACGTCCTAAAGCAACATCATGGTGATCTACATTGTGGCAACGTTTATATCAATGAGGATGGCGAAGTTCATATTGGTATGCATTTTTAGTGTCGTTACAAAGGGATTGACTTAATGACGGTTACAATAGGAGATATTGGAAATAGTATGATCAGAAAGGAAGATGAAAACGGAATCTCTCATGATATTCAAGCAATCTATAAGATTGCCTCGTCTCTCCTTGATATTGAGGCCCGCTCAGATAGAAGGAGCATGTCATTCTACCTAGCTGACCATTTCACAAAGTTGCTATCTGATATTCCGCTTCAAGAGCTTCTCAAGGTATGAAGAAATAGTAGTGATGAAATGCTGATATGATTCTGATCTAATGTTATTACAGCACCCATTTTTGAAGATTGGACAGGGATGTTGGTATTTGGCAAATCTTGGAGTCTTATATACCTTTGGAGTGCAGAGAAACTCGTGGTTTGGCCACCAGCTCATGGGAGAAAATTATGATGACACGGAATCTGAGGAAGAGCGAATACTCTAATACGATAGCTTTCTTGCAAGGCTTAGTTTGAGCAAGACGATAGGGCCATCTGATTGTATTTAGTTTTCATATTAAGAAATAAAGCCTGCGATAATTAACTTCATTTCGGTATTAAGTTATCGCCCAGTTAAAACAATTGCCGTGCTTTCAAATAAGAAGTTATTACATTGGAGATAGCCTTGGGGCAGAGTCGCCTTCGCCGTCTGGCTGGCCCACTTTTCAGTAGCCTTGAGCTTGAAGCGTAGCCTATAAAAAGAGAATCACCAAGGGCCTAGAGCTTTATGTCTTCCATGAGGCTGGTAGGAAGGGCTCTGAGATGAACGGATCCTAGCCCTTGTAGCACTCTCTACTTTGAGACGCCACTCGGAACTCAGTCTCGCATTATAAGAAGACCAAAGACGGGGCAGAAACTGGACATCTTGGACGCAATATGACTGAATGATATCATCAAGTGGGCGGTAGTTGAAAACATCATAAGAACCCCCCTTCTCTGGCGCGAATAATTGAAGCCCTTTTTCTTTTGTGGCCTTCCATACTTGCCTTTCTCTATCGGTCAACATTGCGTCATGCTCAATGCATTTCGTCAAGCCGTTCACGAATTTCCGACCGAACGGTCGACATGCCAGTTCCATGAGTTGAATATCATCGATGCCGGAAAGGCGAATGCCAAAATGGCTATATAATGCATCTGAGTCATTTCTCACATCGAAAATTGCTTTTTGAACGGTCACTGATTCAAGAATGTCCTGAAGCGTCAACCTGTTATTGCCCTTTGTTGAGAAAGCTTTTTGGCCCAGGCTATGAACATCCACAAGGTATACGTGATGTTCAGACGGAATAAATATCTGGAGGATAGATACTTTTCCGTTTCTAGAAAGCTGCTCTCCTTCTAAGTCCAAATAGAGTGATGGAGAAAGGGGCTGACAGTCACATATTGAGTCAACGAGGTCAGAGATTCCCTCCGTGGTATTGACAAGGCTTGATGTAATTCTGCAGAAATTGGTTTGATCGGAACCTTTATTCGGTTCTTGAATAGTTAGATTTGATACGCGCTCCAACATAGAGGATTCTTCATATGCAGCTTGCGACTTAGAGACCTTTTCTGTTCGGATAACACCTAGGAAATTATGTTTAGAAAGAAAGCTCCGCTAACTGCAGACAGAGGGCGAAACCGTACCTATGTCCGCCGCATTGAGATATTCAGCTTCAGCCGACATTATTGGAACAATAATACGACTGCTTCGTAGTACCTCTTCCACTCCTCTGCCTCGCGACTCATCCCTTTGCCCCGGTTATATATGTGGGTTATTTACTGTCATTGTTAATATTTCACTCTCCTAGCGTCGAGGAGCATTTGAGATTGCACGACATTGCCCACAGTTGCCAAATTCCTGACAACGATGAATGTAGCATAATAAAATAATACAGGAACTCATATCGTTAGGGTGATTAGCTATTTAGTAAGTCATTCCTTGTTATAATTAAAGGGACGAAAATCATTTGAGAGGATGAGGTTGCATGCAAAGAATGTTATTGATCTGGCATTTCAGACATCATGGATGGTATACTTAGTGTATGAGGCGCTTTACGGTGTTGCATCCTTCCCATTCCACGGCTTAGGTCATATGTAGACATTCAGTTAGTAGGAATGATGTTGATTGAAAATTCAGAGTGAAGTATTCGAGGCGACCTTCGCACTGCTTAGTTTACATGCAGAGTGAGATGCTCACATTCCGAATTAATAAAACGAAGCCAACCTAATAGCCTATGGAATGCACGCCACACATTACCGTTTTGGTAGTACACCAATATAAGTATCTCTTTATGAAGAGCGTTATACACGTATCATCTCTTCGAGCCCTTCCGGGCACTTGAACAATTGGGAGTCTGGAAAATTCATTGAGACCGTGCCAGTGAAAGTGCTTAGATTCTACTAGGTTCAACTTTCATAGCGACCTCGCAGGACTTTGAGTGAAATGCCAATATAATAATATATTGCAGCCCACTGTTCAATACCTGCAGCATAGTTTCAAGGCTGATTCACTTGAACATGACACGTTTTTCAGCCGATGCCCTATCCGGGCTCTGCACGCAAGAACAGCTGGATCTTCTAGATTCAGTCGATACTCTTCGCTTGCAAGGAATTAGCCACTATATTTCACTCCCGCAGATTATTGTGTGCGGGGATCAATCTTCGGGTAAGAGCTCCGTCTTGGAAGCCATATCAGGAGTCGCATTTTCAGTGAAGAGTAGCCTCTGCACACGATTTCCCACGGAACTTGTTCTCCGTAAAAGCGGGCGGATTGGAGTGAGTGTATCAATTGTTCCTCACCAGTCTCACACGGATTCTGAAAAGCAGTCATTGGGGGATTTCCGCGAAAATCTGGACAGTTTCGATGGTCTACCCGAGTTGATCGAAAATGCGAAGGCCGTTATGGGAATCTCGACTCATGGAAAGGCATTTTCCAACGATCTTCTCAGGGTAGAAGTTTCGGGACCTGATCGACCTCATTTGACTATCGTCGATCTGCCAGGACTCATTCATTCAGAAACAAAACAGCAATCTGCTGCCGACGTCAAGTTGGTACAGGATGTAGTTTAGGCGTATATGAAAGAACCGAGAAGTGTCATCCTGCCGTGGTCTCTGCGAAAAACGATTTTGCCAATCAGATCGTTCTGAACCTCGCCCGCAATGCTGATGGATCTGGGCTGCGAACGCTTGGTGTGATTACAAAGCCGGATACATTGATTCCAGGGTCCGAAAGCGAGAGCATGTTTGTATCTCTTGCTAAGAATCAGGACGTTATATTCAATCTCGGGTGGCACGTGCTCAGGAATAGGGATACCGAACAGGATAAAGGAACCTTGTCGGAGCGTAACACACAAGAGCAACAATTCTTTTCACAAGGTGTCTGGGAGTGTATGCCTCGAGCTCTGGTGGGTATTGATACCCTGAGAGATCGTCTTAGCAAACTGCTTCTTGCGCAAATTGCTTCGGAGTTACCAAGTTTGATTGATGAGATTGAAGTACAATTAGATAATTGTCATGAGGAACTGAGACTTCTGGGTGACGCAAGGGAGACCCCTTCGCAATAACAGTCGTACCTTTTTCAAATCAGCCAGTCATTCCAGTCCATTGTAAAGGCTGCCGTTGATGGAACATACAATCATCATTTTTTCGAAGACGTAAAGAAGAAAACCGGTATCCAGAAGCGAATCCGTGCGGTGATACAGAATCTCAATGAGGATTTCGCGCAGCACATGAGACTACATGGACACTACCGGCATATTTGCCATCAAGATGAAAAGAAGAAAAAAGTAGCCACAGCACAGATTTTAATCACACGTGAACATTTCATTCAACATATCGGAAAGCTTGTCAAACAGACCAGAGGTCGTGAGCTGCCTGGCACTTTTAATCCTATGATTATATCGGACCTATTTATGGAACAATGCAATCCATGGGAAGAAATCACTCGGAAACATATCTCACAAGTTGGTCATGCAGTGAAGGTGTTCATCGGACTTGCTGTGTCCTACGTGGCAGACAAAGCTACATCGGCTGCACTTATGAGAGATATTTTTCACCCTCAGCTAGATGAACTTCAGCAGGCTGTCGAGGCGAAAACTTCCGATCTACTGAAGCCCCATAGAGAAGGTCACCCAATTACTTACAATCATTATTTCACTGAGAATTTGCAAAAAATACGGCATCAGCGCCGGGAGAGTGAAGTTCTCCAGTCAATTCAAGGCTTCTTCAATGTCAGCAATGTGGATTCGCCTTACGAGCAGAGCGGTCCCATTAAGCTTCGTGAATTGTTCAATTCTATCATGCAGAATAGAGAGCCCGATATGTGTCGTTTTGCCTCTGCAGAGGCACTACATTGTATGCTGGCGTACTATAAGGTCAATTCGAATTGCTTCTGGAGTCTGAATATGCCCGTTAATCAGATTTATAGGTCGCCATGAAGAGATTTATTGATGACATCGCCATTGAGGTCATTGAAGGAACGCTTGTGACGTCCCTTTCTGACCTCTTCTCCCCCGTTTCGGTATTCCAAATGCCTCCGGATACTATAACTCGGATTGCAGGAGAGTCGGAGGAAAATCGGAGCTTGCGTGAACAATTAACTAAGAAGCTGGACGTTTTATTGAAGGGTTCAGAAACATGTAAAAAGTTTGTGAGGATTCGTACCATAGGTGAGAAAGATGTACAATTATTTTGCGATGACCTTCCTAATATTCCTAATATGAGGAATAGCTGTTGAAGATATGCGATACTCCTCCGACAGCGGCAACAAGCTTCCGGAGAGCCCCCTATCCACTCAGGAAGCAGATTCTGAACAACTAGGAGAGAGTAGCAGGTTTTGCTCAGTCGGAAATCGTGTAGGGAGCGAGATTTACCTCCAAGAAGACTCTGAAAGTACAATGATGGCCCTGGTAAATCCACCTTATTCCGACCCCATAAATGAGCCAGATAAACCTACAATCAATTCGGAGATGCTTGCTGGGGATCAAGACGAAGATGACTTACCCACATGGAAAGACTTAATGAAAAAAGCCAAAACATTGAAGAAAGATATTAAGAAACAAAAGAAGCAGAAAAGCTTTCTTGTGGATATCGCTAAATCCCCCGACGGTAAATTACTAGATGAAGTACCTGCTGAGTACCTGAGAAAAGCTGAGGAAGTGGCATGAAATTATTTTAACAAATATATGCGGACTATTTTATAATAATCGCTGAGTAATGCCGCAAGAAATAGTATTCGGATATCCACATTAAAAAACGGCAACGAGAGAGGGATGGTAAATGATTTGAGAGGGGTATATAGATTGCTGCCTGAATGCCGACGTACCCGAAAAATGCAATACCCGTTTCATTTCAGCTCACCATCCCTTGCAAGGTGGGACTGAGAACAGATACATATCGCCACGGGACTACTAAATAACCATGGACCAACTCTTCATATTGGCTCGCCTCTGATACTATTAAGAACCGCGTGGCGTCTAGTACGGAACTTCTTACCTCTACATTTTGGACATAATCAAAATAAATGTGGACGGTGCCGATGAAAAGTCTCATTACTCATTGGCTATTTTGAATTCGGCTCCTAGGGCGGGGTAAACGGAGCGGCGGGACAGTGGCTCCTGAGGAAGCTGAGGATGACGCCAGGTTCTATATCTGGGACCTGTGTGATGGAATCTGTCAACGGCCGGATATCGTGGGTTGACATGAAGTAGATCTTAAACATTCTTGTTTGCTAAAAACCTTCCATGAAAATGAAGATCGCGTATCTCATTACACGAGGTTGCGGGGTTATAAGCCATAGCCAATCGCGACGTCCTCTTAGGGCCACCCCAAGTCCAGTCAGCCTCGTCACAATTCGTATCAGCCTTGTCAATGTCAACCCAGTCAATGTCAACCCAATTTAATGTACCATCTTAGAACAAGAGGATCCAGTAACAGTTTGCTCTTCTAACAGCCATTCATCTTCAGTCTCTTCTTATGCCTCTATAAAAACGAGCTTCTCAGTCGCACAGCATGGGTGACCAGCAGTTGTCGCACGAGGATTATACTATCGGGTGGATATGTGCTTTACCAAAGACTGAGCGGGTGGCCGCAGCGGCAATGTTGGACGACGAACATCGAATACTACCAGCGGCGGATCCACGGGACGCAAACACGTATCACCTCGGCCGGATCGGAGATCATAACGTGGTGATTGCTTGCCTGCCCGCAGAAGCAACAGGCAAGGTGTCTGCTGCAACCGTGGCAAAGGACATGCTGCGCAGTTTCCCATCCATCAGATTTGGGCTCATGGTTGGAATCGGTGGCGGAGTACCATATAAGGCGCAGGAGCGAGTGAATAACAATGGAAATGAGAAAGACTATTCGGATGATGAGTCTGAAACTGACATGGAAGAAATACAGGACATCAGACTTGGTGATGTGGTGGTCAGCCTACATTCCAAATCCACCGAAGCCGTCGTGCAGTATGATTTTGGCAAATCGGAGCAGGAGAAGCGGTTTGTTCATACTGGTGGGAAGCTCAACAAACCACCAAACATAGTCCTCAATGCGGTGTCCAGACTTCAGGCTGACCATGCGCGAGGAAGATACAAGATTCCTGAGATGCTCTCAGCAATGTTATCAGATAACCCGACGATGATGAAGTTTCAGCATCAGGGTTTCGAAAAAGACCGACTCTTCAAACCAGAAGTTGTTCATGAGGAAGGAAAGAAGTCATGCAAGGCTTGTTACGGAGTCAATGATGGCAACGTTGTAAGGAGAAAAGACCGGTCCGAAAAGGTTCCTAGGATCTATTATGGAACTATAGGGTCTGCAGATCAAGTGATGCGAGATGCTATCCTTAGAGATCAGTGGGCATCGAAGGAGAACATTATATGTTTCGAGATGGAGGCCGCTGGTGAGTGGGGTATGTATAATGTAAAGCTCTTGTGTCTAACTTGGCGTTAGGACTGATGGATTCATTCCCGTGTATTGTCATTCGAGGAATCTGCGACTATGCTGATTCCCATAAGAACAAAATCTGGCAACCATATGCTGCTGCCACTGCGGCATCGTACGCAAAAGAACTACTGTTGGTCATTCCTGGACAAGGCATTACGGTATTATCTCCAATCAAGCAATGTATGTAACCTAACCGAGCTTAGCTCACTGTGGTATGGGCAGTATATTAGATAGCTAATGTTACTTCCGTTCTTGCCAGTACTGAGTGTTTCTAAGCAACTTGACTCTGTGAATCAAGGTCTTAGCAGGGCATTTGAACAGCGTGAAAGTCACCACCACGAAAGAATGGAGCGGGCCTTGACCGAAGACCAGCGTCGCTGCCATCAAGTATTCAAGACGTCAACCTATGAAGAGCGTAAAAACAATAATCCACACAGAATACCAGGAACCTGTGAATGGGCCTTGAGAAGCCCCGAATATCTACGTTGGTGGGAAGCTCCGAATAACGATCTCTTGTGGATCTCGGCTGATCCAGGTTGTGGCAAATCTGTGCTTGCAAAATCTCTGGTCGACGAGGTCTTTAAGACATCTGATCCAAGTATATCAATTGTATATTTTTTCTTTAAGGACAACGATGAACAGAACAATCTCGCTACTGCACTGTGTGCTATACTGCATCAGCTCTTTAGCTTGCAGCCCCAACTGTTGCGACATGCATTGCCATTCTGGGAAAAGAATCACGAGAAGATTCAGCACGAAGTTGGGGATATGTGGCGCATTTTTCTGGCAGCAACATCTGACCCGACAATGGGTAAAACTATCTGTGTTTTTGATGCTCTAGATGAGTGTCGAAGCCAGGACCAAAAGCAGCTCATACAAAAGCTTCAAGAACACCATACGCAATCTCACCCCTCTGGTGAGAGAAAGTGGTTGAAGTTTTTGGCTACTAGTCGACCATACGATGATATTCAAGATAGTTTTCGGTCGGTAACGAAATCATTTCCACAAATTCATCTCCGTGGTGAAGAGGAAAATGATCAAATTCACGAGGAGATTAATCTTGTTGTGAAAGTTAAAGTGGCTGACCTTGGAGAGAGGTTGAATTTGTGTACTCAAAAACAAAGACAACTGGAAAAAGATCTTCTCCATATGAATCACCGCACGTATTTGTGGCTTTATCTAGCGATCGATCACATTGAGACGGCACTGAAAGATAGTTTTTGGCCAGACCAGGAGCCAATTCCACTGGTTCCAAAAGACGTTAATGATGCTTACGAGAAAATCCTAGATCGAGTCACTCCTAAACAAGAAGCGACGGTGAAGAAAATCTTACAAATAATCGTCGGCGCGCGACGTCCATTGACCGTTCAAGAAATGGCGATGGCCTTAGGGGTCACTTTACAGCATGCGAAAACAGCAGAAGAGGCTACTGCTAGCCACAGTGGACTAAAACAGAAAATACGGCGACTGTGTGGACTCTTTATCTTTATCAAAGATACCAAGATCTACCTCATTCATCAGACGGCAAGAGAATTCTTAATTACCAAGGTGAACAGGTCTACCAGCATTAAATGGTATCTTGAACCAAACGAAACCGAGATCGAAATGACTCGGATTTGTGTCGGTTACCTGCTTATGGATGACGTCGCGGGCGGTAGTAAACAAGATTTACTGAACTATTCAGCAGAGAATTGGCCAGATCATTTCCGACATATACAATCGAAGGACGATAGGTTAGATCAAGAGGTTTATAAACTGTATAACCTTAATACTAAGTTGTTTGGTCTATGGTTTCCTATATTCTGGAAGGCTGAAATGGCATATGGGAGACAACCCAGTATGAATGCACTACATCTAGCTGCATTTAATGGGCATAATGATATGGTTTCTGTACTGGTCATAAATGAGAAATACGTTATTGATCAGGCCGATAATACAAATATGAATGCATTGCGTTGGGCATGTTTACGCGGCCATTCAAATATTGTTCAAATATTACTTGCCGAGGGCACTGATGTCAACGGTCAAGGAGGAAACTATGGTAATGCTCTCCAGGCTGCTTCATTTGGAGGACATTTTGACATTATTCAACAATTACTCGATAAAGGAGCTGATGTCAACGCTCAAGGAGGAAAATATGGTAATGCTCTCCAGGCTGCTTCATATGGAGGAGATCTTAACATTGTTCAACAACTACTCGATAAAGGAGCTGATGTCAACGCTCATGGAGGAAGATATGGTAATGCTCTCCAGGCTGCTTCATATGGAGGACATTTTGACATTGTTCAACGATTACTCGATAAAGGAGCTGATGTCAACGTCCAAGAAGGAGAACGTGGCAATGCTCTCCAGGCTGCTTCACATAGAGGACATCTTAACATTGTTCAAAAACTACTGGATAAAGGAGCTGATGTTAACGCTCACGGACGGTATTTTGGTAATGCTCTCCAGGCTGCTTCATTTGGAGGACATTTTGACATTATTCAACAATTACTTGATAAAGGAGCTGATGTCAACGCTCAAGGAGGAGAATATGGTAATGCTCTCCAGGCTGCTTCATATAGAGGACATCTTAACATTGTTCAACAACTACTCGATAAAGGAGCTGATATCAACGCTCAAGGAGGAGAATATGGCAATGCTCTTCAGGCTGCTTCATGTGGAGGAGATCTTCATATTGTTCAACAATTACTCAGTAAAGGAGCTGATGTCAACGCTCAAGGAGGAAAATATGGCAATGCTCTTCAGACTGCTTCATTAAGAAGACATCTTAATATTGTTCAACAATTACTCAATAAAGGAGCTGATATCAACACTCAAGGAGGAGAATACGGCAATGCTCTTCAGGCTGCTTCATGTGGAGGAGATCTTAACATTGTTCAACAACTACTCGATAAAGGAGCTGATGTCAACGCTCAAGGAGGAAAGTATGGTAATACTCTTCAGGCTGCTTCATTTGGAGGACATTTTGACATTGTTCAACAATTACTTAATAAAGGAGCTGATGTCAACGCTCAAGGAGGAGAATACGGTAATGCTCTTCAGACTGCTTCATATAGAGGACATCTTCATATTGTTCAACAATTACTCAGTAAAGGAGCTGATGTCAACGCTCAAGGAGGAAAGTATGGTAATGCTCTCCAGGCTGCTTCGTTTGAAGGACATTTTGACATTGTTCAACAATTACTTAGTAAAGGAGCTGATGTCAGCGCTCAAGGAGGAAGATATGACAATGCTCTCCAGGCTGCTTCATTTGAAGGACATCTTAACATTGTTCAACAATTACTCGATAAAGGAGCTGATGTCAATGCTCAAGGAGGATATTTTGGTAATGCTCTTCAGACTGCTTCATTAGGAGGACATCTTGATATTGTTCAACAATTACTCAATAAAGGAGCTGATGTCAACGCTCAAGGAGGAGAATACGGCAATGCTCTTCAGGCTGCTTCATGTGGAGGAGATCTTCATATTGTTCAACAATTACTCAGTAAAGGAGCTGATGTCAACGCTCAAGGAGGAAAGTATGATAATGCTCTTCAGGCTGCTTCATTTAGAGGACATTTTGACATTGTTCAACAATTACTTAGTAAAGGAGCTGATGTCAACGCTCAAGGAGGAGAATATGGTAATGCTCTCCAGGCTGCTTCATATAGAGGACATCTTAACATTGTTCAACAACTACTCGATAAAGGAGCTGATATCAACGCTCAAGGAGGAGAATATGGCAATGCTCTTCAGGCTGCTTCATGTGGAGGAGATCTTCATATTGTTCAACAATTACTCAGTAAAGGAGCTGATGTCAACGCTCAAGGAGGAAAATATGGCAATGCTCTTCAGACTGCTTCATTAAGAAGACATCTTAATATTGTTCAACAATTACTCAATAAAGGAGCTGATATCAACACTCAAGGAGGAGAATACGGTAATGCTCTTCAGGCTGCTTCATGTGGAGGAGATCTTCATATTGTTCAACAATTACTCAGTAAAGGAGCTGATGTTAACGCTCAAGAAGGAAAGTATGGTAATACTCTCCAGGCTGCTTCATTTGGAGGACATTTTGACATTGTTCAACAATTACTCAATAAAGGAGCTGATGTCAACGCTCAAGGAGGAGAATACGGTAATGCTCTCCAGGCTGCTTCATATAGAGGACATCTTAATATTGTTCAACAATTACTTGATAAAGGAGCTGATGTCAACGCTCAAGAAGAAAAATATGGTAATGCTCTCCAGGCTGCTTCATTTGGAGGACATTTTGACATTGTTCAACAATTACTCGATAAAGGAGCTGATATCAACGCTCATGGAGGATATTTTGGTAATGCTCTCCAAGCTGCTTCATATAGAGGACATCTTAATATTTTTCAACGATTACTCGATAAAGGAGCTGATGCCAACGCTCATGGAGGATATTTTGGTAATGCTCTCCAGGCTGCTTCATATGGAGGACATCTTGATATTGTTCAACAATTACTCGATAAAGGAGCTGATGTTAACGCTCATGGAGGATATTTTGGTAATGCTCTCCAGGCTGCTTCAAATAGAGGACATCTTGATATTGTTCAAAAACTACTCGACTCGACTCAGGACCGTGGTGAGTGAAAAGAATAGCTATCTCACCAAAATACATAGTAGTGTTAGAAAACGGATATAGGAAAATTCGGATCTCATGTGTGAGATCAGTCGCTGTTGTACATATTCTAATTTCTCACACACTCAAAGCAAAATGTAATACTATAACAAATGGTATCAACATATTTACGTGTAGAAAATATTGTTGAGACAATGGCGAAGACTAATTATTGCAAAATTCAAGTACGAAGATGATGAACTGCTTCTATATGGCGCTGCCAATGCATCTGCTCGAGATGCTCCCAACCGTCGTTGCAGGAGTTACACTGACGGTCATTCAAATGAGCCGGCCGGAAATGACGGAGGAGACTGCTTTTCTGAGCGTATTCTTTTCCGCACTGAAAACAGACCCAAACTTCCTCCTCCTGCTTCTGCTTATACTTGGGATTTTTTATATGTTTTCCCTCACTGGTTTCCTTAACTTCTTGTTCTTCATAATGACGGCTCTCAGCAGGTTCATCAACGTCATTAGATGGCCGCTTTCTCTTCGGCCGGCCCCGAAGAGGACCCCCTTCTTCATAGTCGCAATAGGGAATAATTGTGTGGACGGTCCTGTTGCGTCGCTGCCATTCCCCCTCCAGTGTCCACTCGACAGGAACAGCCAGTATGGCTTCGATAACCTTGGCTTGAATCGGAGGAAGGTCGTCATTTCCATCATCCATTATAGAGCTAGAATCATCGTCATCCGGTTGGATGGCGCCAGAAAGCTGCTCATTGATTTCCGCAATGGCCCGCTTCCTACTATATCCTTGTCTCATGATTTTCTTCTGCTTATACCGGGCCCGTTGACGAGCGTTGGTAACCTCACGTTCTGCTTCTTGTAACATGGGAAGCAAGTCTGTATTTGAATAAATTTCGTACTCATCCTCTAGTTTGTTGCGTTCTCGAATAGCGGTCTGCAAATCGGGGTCTTGCTCAACCAAGGCTTTGGCATCAGCGTCCAGATAGCGGGGACGTTCGGGATCCTTGAATCGGGAACTACTTGTCAGAGCCCGCTGCCATTCTTTGTCTGGGGTCAGCCCCAGTACAGCCTCCTGCATGTTCACATGACGCCTTGGACGGTAATAGTCGAGAAATGTCTGAGTGTTATCATGGTTCATAATTAGATTTCGTTGAGCATCACTAACCCATCCTAATTACTCTCATTCAGAATTTATACCCGTCGATATGAAGAACAACTTACCAGTCGAATCTAGTATTTCGCCCGTCCCGTAGCGAAATTGATGAAAGAAAAAAGAATTCAGAAGACCCATGATCTCTGAAATGGATCGCATCGCTGAGTAATAGGTACTATCGGACATTCGCTGATCGCGAATGATCGTGGGCTTCCCCTTGATCACTTTGACGTCGCAGAACAGATAATACTCATCCATTTCGTTCTTCAGTGGTATCTCTAGCTGCTGAAAGCTACGTCTGATAAAGAGACTGCGAAGTTCGTCCATTGATTTCACATTAGGCGCAAAAGCATCTGCGTGGAACAACAAGCCCAGGATAAAAACATGCGGACTAAAGACCAATGAAACTCCATATATGATTTCGGGGAAAGAGAACTCGTTTCTATTTGCGGATTAGGAAAGCGTTTCGATGGCCTCGGGCGCTACTTACAGATCCTTTACTCCTAGGAGCTGCTTTATATATTCAGGCCGGATATCAATGGAAATCACGGGTGGCCCTCCATGCGGGTCTTTTTGCAGAGTGACGCGTAAGTGTTTATATTGAAGTCTTAGGATCGCTTGTTTTCGACTGGCAGTAAACAACCCCAGCATTAAAGCAAGGCACAACATAATCCGCTGGATACCCAGGTAGAATCGCTTCTTTCGAGTTGTGAGAATCGTTTCATTGAAGGGAACCATATCCTCAATATACATCGGCTCATTAGGACGAGGTTGTGTATCGTATCTGTTCTTTTTGATGATGCTCCGTATACCCTACGACAGTCAGCTGTTAATGTAGAACCGCTTATTAGACAGGTAGCCGTACTGTTCGAAGTCTCTTCGCCATTCCTCGATCCATCTTCTGTCCCTTCACCTTCTGATAATAGCCGCGGAAGTACTTCCAATCGGATTTGAAAGCGTTGGCCTTTCTGTAGCGCCTCAGTTTTCGACCATTCTTACCACGATCAAGTTTAGTAGTCCAATTAAGGAACCGGTACAGGCAATTCGCAGATGCAGCCTGTAGAGCGCGTTCTGGGTGCTGCCATATGGATCCAGCGGATTCTTGGAAGGCTTTCATCCGGCAATACCTATTCATGGTGAGTGAGGTGAAGACTTGATCAATATTCAAGGGTGTATACCGATGCCATCGATCGACTACTCTAGTCCGTAGGTTTTTCGTACCATCTGGTTCGTCGAAATCCGAAGGAATATCAGAGAGCTCTTCTTCAGTATCGTCGTTGGGGTCCTCGTAGCTATGGCGATGAGTCCTCATCAGTACATCAGGGCCGTTATCTGGTCCCTGGTCAGGGACATAATTCTGATGAAGACCTTGACTCTCAGGCTCTATGATGTCTGTATCAGATGCGTCCATGTCCGGTGAATCAAATTCGATTCGAGAATCCGCATCGCTTTCTGTATCAGAGAGATATTTTTCTGCAGCTTGCCGGCGCTGACTACGGTTACGCGCCATCGTACTTTGCTCTTTTTCAATTGATTCGCTAAAGAAGGATGAAAAGGTGATATAAAAGAGAAATATAAAGCATAGAAAAGCATGCAAAAATAATATATTTGACAATAACATTGGAGTTTAGTCGCAAACGAGCTGAGGGAAGCTGGAGAGACGAAAGAGGGAACCGGGAAAAAAACTTATGGGAGGCGTCCATGGCAGGTGGGAAGCCAGCGGGGCTTTAATAAAGGGGCCAAATGGCTCAAAGTCGTATTTTTGTGAAGTTAGGAAAACCAAACACGGATCTTGCAATGAGTGATATCAAAACCTGGAATACGGAACAGGTTAGTGGAAGTGCGTGCGCGTTGTGCGCCGACGCGGTTGTACCCGTGAAGGCATTTTCGCCTTCAAATGGAGGCAAGATCGCCGACCCGGATACAATTAGAAATTCTTAAGAAGTAGAAATAGAATATATATCAATAGAAAGCATTAAATGAAGCTATAGACAAATATTAGGGTTAAATTATTACAACCCAATCAAATCCTTTCGTTTTTGCTGGGCCTCACTTCTCTCTCCGTATGTCCCCCACTTAATGCCAGGCTACTCAATACAATTGGATAGATTAATGAAACAAGTTCGTTTAAAGCCTTTTAAAACGTATAAAGTCGAGCTGATTGTCCGCTATTGAAGGTCAATAATACTAATAATTAATCTCTAGCTGCTACTGTAAATAGTAAACATTGCCAGATGCTAGCAGCACTTTCTAATTATAAGTTATTGTCAAACGCGGTAATACCGCTAAGAAACCACAGGATAGACAATTGAGGTATAGTGTTGCGCTCACTCTAGGTGAGAAATAAATAATTAAGCTTCTTCTATATGCTGACTTATGTTTTAGGAATATCACAGTGTAGCCAGGTGTCTTATGGCTCATAAAGGATTATCGGATCTTTACGCCTTCTATAATAATCCGGAAAAATGAAAACTCAGACCAGACTAGTAAGTCGATCAGTTAAAGATAGAATATGTTTTAGGTAACGCAAATGGCATTTTCTATCTAACAGATGATAGATTAATTAAATCAGGATGCATTATGAAAAGCAGAACTTGATGCTGCGATTAGGTGATGAAAAGAATAGCTTTTATTCCTAAGACATAAGTATAATTGATGTTATCCCGCGAAGGGATATGATCTGAGGCATCCTGTTATAGGCGCTTTGCAGAGTGCGCAACCTTGTTCTGGAGATTTCAATATTTGTAGAGATCTGCATCCCGCACAGAACATATGGTTCTGAGACAAATATATCGCCGGTGCGAAGGAAATGAGTGGCAGCGAACTTGCCAGGTTCTTAGTAGTAGTAGTAGTAGTATTCATACGCGCATCTAAGCCTAGTGTGGCTGGCGGCGAGGCTAATGGACAGTGGGCCTCTCTGCCAATAAAAAGAAGAGAAAGTGCAGGGCTGTCGGCCATAGGCCTTGACTACAGAGCGCCTAAGGCACCTCTAACGCAGCCTTAGCTAAAAACTCTGCACGCGTTCCCGCGTCGCCAAACAATAATAAATCAACAAATCAACAGAACGCTCAAACGCCAACAAATGAGATATGTCACAGACCTTATATGCTTGAGGGGGTGGTAGTGGAACGCTGGAAAACTATGGAGACTAATGAAATATTGTACAACGAGCGCTCGCGGCGCGGGGAGAGGGGGGGAAGGAATCAAATAAGAGGGGGCCCGGGGACATCAATCGTGTGGTTCGGGTGGCCTGCGTGCCCGAGGGCGCCCAGACAGGAAGAACTTTTTGCATAACAGTCGCGCTTACAGCGGACGTGACACTGGGGGGACGACATGCCTGAATTGGGTCAGGAGACCCGTTCGCAGCATGAAGTCGATGCTCTTTTTGACCCAAGCAGGCTGGCTAAGCAGTCGCTTGTAGTCGGTCTCACGTGCTTCGCTCCAAAGTGTCTGTGTACGCAGTCGGGTGAATAGAGGGCATTTGGTAAGAACATGGTTGGCATCCTGCCGGCCGAAGCCGCAGTCGCACATGGGTGAGTCGGCGATCTTGACGTCTGCTAAGAAAGTGCGCAGGGCCGATTTGCCTGACTGTAGTTGGATTAAGGCTGAGCTCCATGCCTTATGAAGCCCCGCATGCAGCAGTAGAAGCGCCTTCGTCGGCGCAGTGAATATCTGATAAAGATCCCGACCGTGCTCGGCGATCTCCCACTCTTGCTTCCACCGTTCGGCGAAGCCCGCGCGCAGGCGCTGACGGCAGACCGTCACTAAGATTATATTCTGATGCTGAAGCATCAGATTGAAGGTCATACGCGCGGCATGTGGCGTTGCCTGGCTGGGTGCATTGATCCGGGCACGTCTCTCCTCAACGCGAGTGCGGCGAATTGCTTCCATTGCGGCGAGCTTTGCTAGTCGGTCAGCTTCCTCGTTGCCAGGCACGCCCTCGTGGCCTGGCACCCACTGTATCCGTATACGCCAGTGGGCCTTGTGTAGACGATCTAATTGTTTGACGATTCGCTGCACGATATGCTGGCCTGATGAGCGCTTGGGGGCTCCACAGGCGGTTATGGCGGCCTGGTTATCGGTGTAGATCGTGGCCTCTCGGGGCCCTGCGTAGTCAGATTGCTTTGAGAGGAGTGTTAGCGCCTCGTGAATGCCTTCCAATTCCCCTGCGTAAACGGTGTGTGTGTCGGCGGAGCCCACAGGCGTGCTGACGCTCCCTAGTGTAGAGTGCGCTGCGGCCCCAATTCCATTGTCAAATCCACTGCTATCGGTAAATATTTGTATCGGGGGGGTCTGTTTTCTCAATTCAGCGAGTGCCGCCTCACGGTCCTCGCTAATCAATGTCTCTGGCGGCTGCCACCAGGGGGGAGTCGCGAACGGCTGGATCAGCTCTATTCGTTGGCACACCCCCCGTCCCAATTTGGCGTCAACAGCCGCTTCCAAGCGGTGTAGGGGGACGTGTATGCGTTGTTCCGGTGCGCATCGCCTCGGATTTGGTGCAGCTTTGGGCGGATCGGCGAAGTCATGATGCGCAGGCAGGCCTCTTCGGCAAGCCGTGCGAGGGTGATCTCGGGCGGGGGGACGTTCAGGCAGACCTCAAGGGCCTGCCGGCTTGTGCGGCGGAACGCCCCGGAGATGCGCTGCAGCGCCTGGTACTGAATCGATCGAGCGGCCTTCTCGGCAGCGTTTTTGGCGGCGTGGAAGCCATAGCCCCCGCGTACGTACCATGTCGAGCATGCGTACATGATCTGAGGCAGCAGCACGGCTGTGTAGATCTTCCGTAAATGGACTAGTGGAGTCCCCCAGGTGGATCCTGCGATTGAGGCTATTCCAGCGACGAGGCCTGCGGCTCGCTTCCTCATTTGACGCACCTGCGCCATGCCAGTGAGATTGGAGTCTAGTTGCACCCCGAGATATTTGATGGCGCCAGTTGGCGCGATCTCGACGCCTCGTAGGACGAGGGGGGTGTCGAGGGGGGAGTCCGGTTTGGGCACGCTACGGTGCCGCCGCCAGAAGTGCGTCAACTGGTATTTGGCCGGTGCGAATTTGGAGGCATGTGTTCGCTCCCAGCGCTCTGCGACCTGGTGCGCTTGGGAGAGTGTGCGGCAGTTGTCAGCGGCCGAGTCCCCGTATGCCATGATTAGAACGTCGTCAATGTAGCCCATGGCGAGGGTGCCAGGGCATTGGCTTTGGATATCGTTAATGAGGTCGGCATTAAAGAATAGGAATAGGATTGGTGACAGGGGGGACCCCTGTGGGATGCCAGTGTTAACCGGAAATCTGCCCATGTCGCCCTCGAGAAGGATGATTGATGTGCGGCGTTCGCTCAGAAAGCTTTCAATCCAGCGTACCAGGGCCTCCGGCACCCGCCGCTTGCGTAGATCATGAAGAAGTCGCTTATGATTGACGTTGTCGAAAGCCCCTGAGACGTCTAGGGCTAGCCCAGACGCTACCAGAGCCCCCTCGCGCCACTCCGCATGGGTGCGTTCGAGTAGGAGGTGCAGGGCATGCTCGCACGAGCGGCCTCGGCGTCCTCCCATATGGTTCCTTGGTAGCAAATCATAATATTCTACAAGATAGCTCAGCCGTGTGGCGAGAACGGCCTCAAGGGCCTTCCCAATCGTGCTCAATAGCGCGATTGGCCGGTAAGCTTTGGGGTCGGTGTAATCTGGCTTGCCTGGTTTACGGATCACTACCGTGTTGGACTGCCTAAAGTGGGCTGGACAATAATGGCAGATGATACACGCATTAAACAGGTTAGTGAGGTAGTCATCGATGATTGGAAGGAGCTTCTGGAGCACAAGATTAGGGATGCCATCCGGCCCCGGGGCCTTCTTCGGTCTCACGTGACTAATCGCGGCGTGCACTTCATGGATTGTGATTGGTGGCATCTCTAGCTGCTTTGAATAACGGTATTGATGCCCTATATCAGATAAGTCAGCTTCGGGGGGTTAGGGTGCAGCACCGCACGGAGCAGGGCCGCCTTGTCTTGGGGGGCGCTGTATTGACGGCCTTCATAGTATAGCGTTGGGGTGAACGTTGCACGAGGGGACCCGCGCATGCGCACCCATCTGGCCACCTTCCAGAAGCCCTCAATGGACTGCGTGGCTTCCTCAATGCGGCTTCGGTGTAGTTCACGTGCGAGGCGTGACGATTCCTGTTTCATATGTTGCTTGGCCGTCTTATATGACTCCCATGCACGCTCTGTGTTGGCTTGCTTTGCAAAGCGTCTGCGTCGGGTCACTTCCTGTTTGAGTGCGGCCATCTCGGGGGTATAGCCAGGCCGGGAGTATAGTGAGATCTGCTTCCATGGCGTAGCCTGTTCGGCTGCGTCAGTGATGGCTTTAATTAAGGTTGAAATAGCGCTGTCGATCGCTTCCTTATCAGGTAAGTCCTGCGGGCGCCAGCTGCGGCTCTCTATCAGCTTGATGAAAAACTCCCAGTCTGTGGCATCCCACTGTCTGCGGCGGGCCGGGGCGGCTCGGGCAGGCGAGAGGTCAAACTCGGTGTGGATTGGCACATGATCTGCACCGTACCACCACTCCCGGCGGTCCTGACAACCAATGAGGCGATCTGCCAGGGCGTGCGAGGCCCAGACGAGGTCAATGGTGGTCTTGGCGTCGGCTCTCTCGTACGTCACAGTGCCTCGAGGCAGCAGTTGCTGCAGGCCGTGCGCGTCCGCGATGTCGATGAGTTTGGTGGCGTCGTCGTCGATAGCTTCGTAGTCGGGGGCCGCCCAGAGCGGGTGGTGCAGATTGAAGTCGCCTAGGGCGACGTGCAGGCCAGGGCGCGTTGATATCGCGGCTGTGAGGGCCTCAAGGTTTGACTCGCCAGTCGCTCCGGCGCCTGGGTTATAAATATTGTGCACATTCACCACGCCCAAGTTGGTATGGAGCGTCAATGTTGTGAGATCTCTGTTATGGTGGTGCACCTCCCACTTCGTGGCGTCGAGGCGCTTATTGATGTAGAGGCACACCCGGGGACGGTCATCGTAGTTGGCTTTTGGTGTAGGGCGCAGTGCCACGTGGAAGCGGCCCTGCAGGGCGAGTGAATAGGTGATCAATGGGTCTGTAAGTTTGTTGATATAAGGTTCTTGGATCGCCAAGATGTCGTACTCCTGAAGCTCCTCCTCCCCGAACAGGTGCATCTGCACCTCGTCACGCGATTTCCAGCAATTCGCCTGTAAAATATATAACCGATTTGGGTTTTTATACATTAAGATAGGTTGATTAGGCCCACGAACTGTCTTCGAGGTTAGTGGTCATTGCTTCGTCAGTGGGGCCATAGTTGGGGTCTCTGCGGGTGAGGCTCAATTCGTCGTCGGACGACTCGTCAGCGGCAGGGCGTGCGCTTTGGCGGCGTCGCACCTTCTTGACTGCGTCGACATTGGCCGACTCCAGCGAGGGGGGGTCCGCGGAGACAGTTGAGGTAGAGGTTCGTGCGTGATCAGTGAGTTCACGTTGGCGTCACTCTGTCTCTCGTCCATGGGATCCTCTCGATCCCGCATGGCCTTCTTTGAGGATCGGGTTGTTGGCTTCGCCGGGGCTTTAGGGCTATCAGGTTCTGCGGCACGCTTGCGGGTGGCCGTGCTTTTGCTGCGTGACGGGGCGGACCGAGTCCGCGGGATTGGGGCGCTTCGGGTGGGAGCTCTGGGGCTGCGCTCCATGGCCACTTCGGCCGGGGTAGGGTCAGCAGTCGGATTGACTGCGCCTGGCGAGGCCATGCCTGGTCTCGCGACTGGCGCGTGGAATTGGGGCCCGTGGGCGCGACGCTGGTGCACCTCGTAGAGGCAGGATGCCCGAATTGGGCACTCCCTCGCGAAGGCGTAGTGGCGTTCGTCGTGCTTCTTGGCTGGATCTTTGATATGGGTGTTTTCTTCGACGCAGTTAGTGCACTTGGCATACTGCTTGTCGTGGGGTGTGGAGCAGTCCCCAGTATCATGGTGGCCAGCACAGTAAGCGCAGCAGGCCTGACGTCGGCAGTGTTTGGCGATATGCTTATACATTTGGCAATTGAAGCATTGTTGCAGGTTGACACTCTTATCATAGATCGTACATTGGTGCTGTTTCCCCTTGATAATTAGGCCTCGAGAGATGGCAAAGTTGGCGACACGTTCGTCATCGAAAATGACGACCAATTGTGACTGGGGGGGCTTTGTTCTTTAAGTTTGCGCTCACCTAGCAACCACCCGGTATGGGTGATATTGATCGGTGCAGGCAGTTGGGCGAATACAGGGGCATTTTCCGTACGGAGCGTGACCTTGAATTGGGCCAGTCTGGGGTCAATGGAGGTGTCCACGCCTCTCGCGACCACCCCCAAGTGCGTTTCCGGATCTGGACCTTGTCGCCAAAGGCTCGGGTCCAGGCTGACTTGCGGGTCAATTGATCCACGTCGTCAACGGTGCTGCAGAGTAGGGCCATGTCTCCGCTAGGGAGGACACGGACTGCAGCGAAGCGCCGGTGGGAGATGGTCGGCTCTTGAAGCGATTGAACCGCTTGATTGGCGCGCTTGACAACCTCATCGAGGTGTCGGCGCAGAGGGTTGATCACCTCGCTATCAGTGCGTTCGAGGTAGATCTCGAGATCTTCTTGGGCCGGGTACGGGGTCAAAGGAGTGCTGTTGCCGCTTGACAGGCTGAGGCTTGGAACTGTAGGGGGTGCGAAGGCACCTTGCGTCCCCAAGCGTGGACATAGGACTCGGAGCTGCTGCTCCCAGTCACGTGACCAAAGCTCATCGAGGTTTTCAGGATGCGAGATCCAGGGGGTGAGGGAGCGCAAATGGCCTCAATCAGGCGGTTAGTGTTGCTTTTGGTCGTCAAGACCTCACGGGAGGTTTGAGACACTTCTTTTTGTGTCTTTTCCATGTGTGATTCGACGCGGGCGAGGCGATGCGCGAGGGCCTCGATCGTGGGTGCCTTGTGGACTCGCTGCGCGAATCCAATGAGGGCATCCAGAATCTGGTGAGTAAGGCCCGGCGGCAGGCCTGATTCAACCTTTTCAGCATGCTGTTTAATTGCTGTGAGGTCTTTGGCGATGGTGGTCGCATATGCGCGTATATCAGGATCTTCTTCGAACCGTGGTTCAGGCCACGGGAGCCCCTTTTTGCTCTTCTTCGCGCCCATGGTTCAACCACGGGGTTTGAAGAGGAGAGATTTGAGATAGGGGATAGTTGAGAGGTCTATTATAATTGAGATTCCTTCCCGCAGTACTTTTTACCTGAGGGGGTGCGTTTTCATCGGTGCGCGAGTTTTTCCTATCCTGGCGCCCTGTTGTGCAGCGCGCTTGGCCGCCCGGTCTGCCGCCTCGTTGCCGGCGACGCCTTCGTGCCCAGGGATCCATTGAAGGGTGATTGGGATGCCTTGTTCTGTGCATTGATCCAGTAGACCTTGACACGCTCTAATGAAGACTTGTCCGGAGACCATATTGGGACTGATGAGCGTCCTTAGGGCCGATTGACTGTCAGAGTAGATTACGACCCCTTGTTTAGTGCGTTTCTGCCACTTCTCGCTCTCGCTGGCCTCCCTGAGCCATATCGCTGTGTGGAGGCCGAATTCGATGCCGCGGGCCTCCGCTGCGTACACGGTCGACGTGCCTTCAGTGCCCAGGCATGCCGTGTATTGCCGGTTCGCTTCGGGGCAGACTACTGCCGATCCGATGTAGCCTTGATAGCCGCTGCCGTCCGAGTATAGCGCTATTGGGGGGTTTCTTTGCTTTGTTGCTTGTCGTGTGCGCTGATCGCTTCTTCACGTGTGTCAAATAGCACTACCCTCGGGGGTGTTTGCCAGGGTGCCCGGGTGTATGCTTGCCGACTCTCCCATTCGCCTGCTACCGCTTCCGGGGGAGCCTGCAGGCATCCACCCTTCTTCCAGGCTTGCACCTCGAGGGGCGTGTATCCACCGAGTTTGAGTTCTTCGTCAGGGCGGGGTCGAAATAGGGTGTGAGGGATGGCGTGGGCGGGTCCAGTTCGAATTCGTAGGGCTGTTTCTTTGGCGAGTTGTTCCATCTGAAGCCGAATAGGTAAGAGGTATAGTTCGACGTTAAGGGCTTCAGCTGCTGTCGTCCGGAAGGCGCCGCTAATCAAACACGCTGCGCGTTTCTGGATGGAGGCAAAGCTGCGAGTTATCTCGGCCGTCTGCTTCTTCGTGAGTGTTCCCGGTTGGAACCAGGCCGCCACCCCATAGAGCATTTGGGGGATGACAGTTGCTTGATAGATCTGGCGCATCGCGGAGAGTGCCACCCCCCATGTGGAGCCTGTCAGTCCTCGTAGCGCTTGCAAGCTCATGCCGGCTTTGGCCACTGCTTTGGTGCGGTGTTGTTTGAAGGTGAGGCTCGGGTCCAGCCAGATGCCTAGATAGCGTTCAGCGTCTCGTGTTGGTTCAATTTTTGTGCCATCTGGGAGTTGAAGCGTCGTCCAATTGGGGTCGGTAGAGCTGCGGGGGTTGACAAAGTGGATAAGCTTGTATTTCTTAGTATCGAAGACAGAGGCGTGACGCCTGGCCCAGCGGTCCGCTTTGGCGCAGGCTGCCTGCAGCTTAGCGACGTTGTGTTCCTCCGAGGCTCCTGTGGTTAGAAAGGCGACATCGTCTACCCAGCCGCTTGTAGTGGTGCCTTCGGCTTCATTGGCACTATCGGTTAGGAGATCTGCGTTGTAGATTAGGTAAAGGATTGGGGAGAGTGGAGACCCCTGTGGGATGCCAGTTGATATGGGGATGCGCTTTGATATGCCCTCCGGCATACGGATGCGCGTGCTTCGCTCGCTCAGGAAGGCCTGGATCCATGGGGCATAGTGCCCCAGTCGCTTCCTACGTAGATTATGGAGTAGACGTTCGTGGTGCGCATTGTCGTACGCTCCCACGACATCGAGTAGTAGCATTGACACCACGGAGAGGCCTTTTCCCCAGGCACACCTGACTCGTTCAATTATGCTCTGAATGGCATGGTCTGTGGAGATACCTCTACGGCCCCCTAGATGTGTAGGTGGCAGCAGGGAGTGCTTCTCTATAGCATAGCTAAGGCGCCGGGCAATTATTGATTCTAGGAATTTGCCGAGCGTGTTGAGCAGCGCTACTAGGCGGTATGCCTTAGGGGTTCGATAGTCGCGGCCTTCGCCTCCTTTGCGTAGTATGACGGTTATTGAGCGCTGAAAGTGGGCGGGGTTGAAGCCTGCTTCAACACAGGCATTATAGATTTCATAGAGAGTGTCTAGGGCTTTTGGATGTTGTACGACCTTATGCCATAGGGAGTTCGGGATGCCGTCCTCTCCCGGGGCTTTGTCGGCCGGGGTGGCGCGAACCGCGGTCTCGATCTCGTGTCGTTCGATGCGGGGGAAGGCCAGTTGTCTCGGGTACTCGGAGCCTGGGATATCGCTGAGATCGGCTGGGGGTGTTGCCGGGAAGAATGTGCGTTGGAATAAGGTTGCTTTGGCTTCGACGGTCTCGGCGATCTCTCCATCAGGTCCACAGAGAGTCGGCGTGATTCCTGCTTCGTACGCACCCTCGCGCGAGCGGGCCCATTTCGCCAGGCGCCAGAGGCCCTGAGGCCCCTGCTCCGTGGCCAATTGAACCCTCCGGCGGTGGCCGGCGCGCAGGGCCTTCTTGACCAGGCGTTTCTTTCTGTTCCGGGCGATTTTATACAGGGCCCACGAGCGTGGTGTGTGATAGCGTGTGTATTGGCGGCGGAGATACCGGGCCGTCTTGACCGCCTCGCGGCATTCGGGGGTGAAGTCGGGATTGGCCCATTCACTGGGGACGGCCATCGGGGTTGAGGCCTCAATGGCACGGCGGATCGTGGCTGTAAAGGCGGTCGTGGCGAGCTCGATTCGTTGCTTTGAGGCCCTCTGGAGGTTTGGGACGATTAGGTGCTTATCGAGTGTCTCCAGAAGGATCTTGGTGTCGGTGGCTTTCCAGTTTCGGCGTTGGGGGAGTTCTCTCGGGGGAGTGGTGATGTCCAGGAGGGTTCTTATAGGATAATGGTCGGAGTCGTGCTGCACATCGTCCGCTCGTTCACATGCTATAAGCCTGTTGGTCAGGTTTTTAGAGATTAGAGTTAGATCGATAGTGGAGGTTAGTTCGCCTCGTTCCCACGTGACTGTGCCTTCTTCTGTGGTCAGTTCGATGTTATAGCGGTCAGCAATCTCTAGAAGGCGCTCCCCTTCGGGATCCATGTTCGTGCCGGGGCCACCCCAGGCAGGGTGGTGCACGTTCATGTCTCCCACGATGAGATGTTCGGTCTCCAGCGCGTTCGTTGAGGCTCCGGGTGGGGCTGCCTGGAGGCGTTCTAGTTGGACAGCTATCTCCTCTATGGTTCCACTTCTCGGCTCGTTGTATAGTAGTAGTAGTAGTAGTATTCATTCACCTGTTAAAGCTGGCTAACTGATAATGCCGCTATGCAGGGATGCTCTCTAACCCGCAGGAGCTATATACAAGAGTGGCACAGCCACAAGCGGCGCAGCCGGAAGGCTGAGCCGCGGGAGAATCGAAGCCACTAAGACAACCCAAATTAATACAAACCAATCAAACAAGCAAACAAGTCAAACAAATGGAATAAAATGAGTGAAAACATCAAAACCTGACACTCTCTATCCTTCCCACATTCTCACTGTCTCACTGTGACACACCCACGTAGCCCAGCTCGACTCTACGCGCTCCCTGGTGTGTCTATAGGGCCCAGCTCATGCCCTATCCCATCAATGCTCCATGTTACAGCTCCTGGGCTGTCTTTCGTGCAGATATTGGTCCAACAGGCGGCCAGACCAGTCCTGAGCGCTGACCGCTGGATGCACGAATCTCGACGTAAACACGTCAATGCCCTAGTGGGTGCTATTTTCTAGGTCAACTGCCCCCATTGCATATGGATCGGTTGCTTGGAATTGACCAAGCAGCCCGGTACTGTGCACAAATTCAGCGATACTGACCGCTGCGCTTTTCTCCGTCAATAATTTCTTCATCGGCGCGCCCCTGCGTACCCCCCGGATCCGCCTCCACATCACCTCGCGTTCTTCCTCGTATAATTGGCACTCCATTAGAATATGGCGTGGTGTCTGTCCCGACAGATCGCATGGGCACCGGGGCGAGTCTCGCCTGCCGATTCGCCAGAGGTATTGGTTCAGTCCAATAATTCCTGAGCGCAGCTGTACCAATATCGACGACGAGGCCTTGCGTACCCCTTTCCAGTAGTTAAGCGTGCGCTTATTTGGCTTTGAGATGAGGAGCCTTGTAGGCTTGCCTGCTTTTCCTTTCTCCCACGCCTGTATCCAGGCGTCTTTTGCTGCCTGACGAATCCGTCGCTTTGCTGCCGAGGCCAGCCACATCCATTGTTCTCCCGGCCTCACTCCTTTTTTCGCTCCCTCTGTAGCAGCGCGCTTTGCTGCTCTGTCTGCTGCCTCATTCCCGTCCACTCCTTCGTGGCCTGGAATCCATTGCAGGGTGATATTGAGGCCTGCCTTGTGCATCATGTTGAGCAGGCTTAGGCAGTCCTTGATCCGGGTCTGGCCCGAAACCATGCGTGGGTTAAGCAGCGTTTTCAAGACAGCTTGGCTGTCCGAGAAGATCACTACTCCATGTCGGCTTCGCGCCTGCCATTGAGGTTTATAATTGAGTTGCTGAACGGCCTGTAGTGCCATATAGATTCCTTCCACCTCCGCTGCGTACACCGTCGTCGTGCCTTCTGTCCCCAGGCACCTGGCCAGCTGCGACCCTATCTCCGGCACGTACATGGCCGCACCCACGTATCCCATATATCCGCTCCCGTCGGTATAGATCATTAGTGGCGGATTTTCGCGTCTTTGGATTGAGTTGTGGTTTGAAATCGCTTCCTCGCGTTCCTGGATAACCACCTTTGGAGGCACCTGCCATGGCGCTTTGACGTACGCTTGGCGGCTCTCCCAATTCCCTGCCACGGTGCTCAGGGGAGCCCCCAGGCAACCGTCTTTCTTCCAGGCCTGTATCTCCATTGGTGTATATCCGCTAAGTTTGAGTTCGTTGTCTGACCGCTTGTGCAGTAGTCCCATAGGGATTGCTTGTCGTGGTCCTGTTCTGATCCGTAGCGTAGTTTCCTTTACTAACTGATCCATCTGGAACTTCATGGGTAATAGATGTAATTCCGCGTTGAGCGCTTCGGCTGCTGTGGTTCGAAAGGCGCCACTGATTAGACACGCTGCACGCTTTTGTATGTCTGCAAATTGGCTTGATATCTTGTTCGCTTCCTTTTTGCTAGTAGGTTGGTACCATGCTGTCACCCCATAGAGCATCTGCGGTATCACTACCGCGCGATAAATGTGACGCATGCTGGTGAGCGCCATGCCCCATGTCGATCCGGCCAGTCCTCGAAATGCCTGCAGGCTGGTGCCTGCCTTGGCCACTGCCTTTTCTCTGTGAATTGTGAAATCGAGATCGGGGTCCAGCCAGAAGCCTAAATATCTCTCCGCGGTGCCTGTTGCTTCAATTAGGGTGCTATCTGGCAGCCTGATAGGGGTGAATTCTGGCTGCGTAGTGCTGCGCGGATTCACAAAGTGGATTAATTTGTACTTCTTCGTGTCAAATACCGAGGCGTGACGTGCAGCCCAGTGGTCTGCCTGTTCACAGGCTCGCTGGAGCTTATCAATATTGGCCTGCTCTGATACCCCTGTTGTCATAATGCTCACGTCGTCTACCCACCCTCCGGCCATGGTTCGTTCTTCTTGGTTGGTGCATGTCTCGATAAGCTCCGCATTATAGATGAGGTAGAGGATCGGCGAGAGGGGTGAGCCCTGCGGGATGCCTGTCGGGGTTGCTGTTCGTTTTCCTGTCCCCTCAGGCATTCGGATTTGGGTGCTTCGTCCGGTCAAAAAGGCGCGGACCCATGGCACCAGTTGGCCTAAGCGGCGGCTGCGTAGGTTGTGCAATAGGCGTTCATGGTGTGCATTGTCATATGCTCCAACGACGTCCAGCAGAAGCATTGACACCACTGGGAGGCCTTGGCCCCATGCCTGACGGATTCGCTCTATGATGATTTGTATGGCGTGGTCCGTAGACACCCCTCGACGTCCCCCCATGTGTTCATCTGGCAAGAGGCCGTGGGTCTCCATGGCGTAGCTGATCCGCTTTGCGATGATCGCTTCTAGAAACTTTCCTAATGTATTAAGCAGCGCAATGGGTCGATATGCTTTAGGCGTGCGGTAGTCCCGGTCTCCCCCCTTGCGAAGGACAACCGTTATTGAGCGTTGAAAGTGGCTTGGGTTGTAGCCCTGATCAACACACGCATTGTATATCTCGCAGAGTGTATCCACCACTTTTGGGTTTTCAATGGCACGCTGCCATAGGCTGTTTGGTATCCCGTCGTCTCCCGGAGCCTTATTTGGGCCTGTACTCCTCACAGCCTCCACTATCTCATGGGGCTGGATTCTCGGGAATTGAAGTTGATTTGGGTATTGCGCATCTTCTATATCTGATAAATCTGCCTGTGGCGCCTGTGGGAAGAATGCTTGTTGGAAGAAGTAAGCTTTACTCTCTAGGGTTTCCGCAAGTTCCCCGTCTGGGTTTCTGAGCGTAGGAGTCACTCCCTGTTCATATGCCCCCATTCGGGTACGTGCCCATTTGGCCAGCTTCCATAGCCCGTGGGGGCCTTGTTCAGTGGCTTCCTGGACCCGTCTGCGGTGTCCCCGGCGTAGTTCTTTATTGACGAGCCGTTTTTTCATATTCCGTGCCCTGCAGTAGCGCGCCCACCCATTGAGAGTGTGTGTGCGTGAGTACTGCCTGCGCAGATATCGTGTGGTTTTTACCGCTTCCCTGCAGGCCTCACTGAAGTCTGGATTGGACCATTTGCATGGCCTTGCCCATGGTGTTGATTCATGAATGGCCCGGCGGATTATGGCTAGAAAGGCTGTTGTTGTTAATTCGATTATGGCCTTGGAGCGGCCCACTAGGTTAGGTACGTTCAGATTTGTTTCAATTGACTCCATAAGGATCTTATGGTCTGTGGCTTTCCAATTCCGACGCATTGGGATCTCACGGGTGGGCGTTTCAATATCCAATAGTGTCCGGATTGGGTAGTGGTCTGAATCATGTTGTACGTCATCCGCACGAATACATGCCTCCAGTCGGTTCTCTAGATTCGTTGATATAAAGGTCAGATCAATCGTTGATCTTAGCTCTCCTCGTTCCCACGTCACTACTCCCTCCTCTGTACTGAGTTGCAAGTCATATTGGTCCATGATTTCCAGGATCAGTTCTCCTTCTGGGTCCATGTTGGTTCCGGGTCCCCCCAAGCTGGATGGTGTGCGTTTAAGTCTCCCAATATGACATGTTCAGCGGTCGGTCTTGTTTCTCGAATTCGGCCTAGCTGCCGGCGTACAACTTCAAGTATGCCACTCCTCGGTTCGTTATATATATTGTGGACGAATAAGCTTCGAGCCTGCCCGCCTCGTTCATAGTTGATACGCAGGATTTGGTAATCCTGGGATATCGCTGTGTGTTGCCACTTGCTTGGATCTAGACTCTTTGCCACGAATAATGCCACTCTTGTCCTCCCTAGGCCCCCTGTTTCGCTCTGTTTGGGATACAACATCTGATGGGTGCGTGCTGCTGGTTGGTGTGTCGTTTCATTGATTGGGTTGCTCCATGGTTCTTGTATCGCGATCACATCGGCCTTTAGAACATGAGTGTCCCGCAGAAATGTTGCCATCACCTTGTCCTTTGATTTATTAGTGTTGTACTGGATAATCTCGAATGCTTTCTTATTCATTAGAGCTGGATTCTTCGGTAGGGCTGTTTGGTACGGAGCTAAAGCCAGAGGTCGATCGGGTGGCCTCCATGACATCGTCTAGATCGGTGGCTCGGCTGCCTCGATAGGCGTTGAAGTTTTCGAGCATATGGCGCGTTTCTGACCCATAGTTGGTAAGATCCAGCTCGTCATTTGACATTGAGCTGTTAAGCATGATGTTATTATTGACTGATATCATGCCTGGGTCGATCATGGGAGGGATTGGAGGTAGATCTGGTTCAGTAGGTGAGATTTGTCGTGCTGCCTGGCTCGCTTGTTCGATAGTCAATGGCGCAGGCGCCTTGATTGGGATGGTTGTAGTGGTTGTATCTTCCTCCGTGTCAACTCGTCGGCGTTTGGTGCCCGCCCTGAAGAGCCTGTCTGGATCGCTTAGCATTGTCGTTGGCTGTCCTCGACGCTGAGATCGGGTATTGGCCAGTTCTGACTGCATGGCTTGTTGACTCGCTTGCTGACTTGCTGACGCTGCTGAGCTGATTAATTCGTCAATGCTCGATGGCTCAGTCTCCTCCTCTGCGACTGAGGATTTGGACTTAGGAGGCCTTCCACGGGCCCTTTTGTTCTTAGTTACCAATGTAACGATCTTCCGGGATGGTGCCGCCAGAGTAGGGGCGGTTATATTATCAGCAGTGGGAGCCTGTGTTGATCCAAAATTGGTGGTGATAGGGATAGTGCTTTTAAATATAGGCTTTGTAGGGTTCATAGGGATCGGTAGCTTCATGTAGTCCGGAATCCGGTGGAGAGGTTCGCAGTTGATAATGGCTTCTTTTGCACGATCTAGCGCTTTCCTTTTCTCTGCGCACTTTGCGCTTGACGCCTTATGATCTCCCTTACAGTTAGCGCACTTGGGATCAACTTTCTCACCCCTGGTGGACGGACATTCCCAGGACGGATGTCCGCCGGCACAGGTGCCGCACACGTGGCTATTGGATGGGCATTGAGCGTGGATATGCCCGAATTTTTGGCACTTGGCGCACATCTTACACCGTCCTTCCTTGCAGAAGATTATGGTGTCGTGGCTCTGTGCTTCCCAGATGGTGCCCTGCCGGATCGCCTCGTTTGCAGCGAGAGGGCTTGTGAACTCAATAACCAGTGATCCCTCGCGCTTTCCCTCGTATGGCCGGGTCAGCCAACTCACATGAACAACGCTGGCTGTCAACCCCCAGGTATGCTGATTCTGAGCCACGAGCCTGGTAATGATATCCCCCATGGTCTCTTTGGTCAAAGATAGCGACTTAGTGTTAACCCCGCGAGCCACAACCCCCCAAGTGGGCGTCCTAATGTACGCATCGCCCCCGAACGCTTTCACCCACACGTTGGCATGCTTTCTCAGCACCTCAGCCCCGGCGGCATGGCCTGCCCGCAGGCTGAGGTCCCCAGAGGGTAGCTGACGTGCGGCAATAAAGCAGTGGCCAGCAAGAGTGAGGATTTGTATCTTTTTCGCTGCCTGCACTCTCGCTCGTTCAGCTCTCTTTACAATGTCAATTGGCCTACTTTGACGGAGTTCCTTGCGTATCGCTGCATCCCGTATCTTTACCACAATTTCACAATCAGACCCTAGTTCTGCATGGGTCACCCCAGGGGTCGACGAGCCTGCGCTTTGGGACAAAGGTGAGGCCGCGCTGCGTAGGCCTGTCTGCCACTCTCGTGCTCGGAGGCTTTTCCAAAAGGAGGCAGAATCGGGTTGCGAGATCCCAGTGGTGTTGCTATTGGATTTGCTCAATTCCTCACGGATTTGAGCGGTTTCTTGGCGGATATCGTGAAGAGCCTTTTTCAGATCCGCCAACGCGCTCGCGTTGTTGTCGCCCCCATGGGCCTTTTCCGCGTAGCTTTTCACGGCCTGGATAAATGACTGGGTGTCATTGTCAAGGCGGTAGGTGTTATTACTGTCTTCTGCGCGAAGAAGGATTTTCTGAGCTGCCTTGGCCAATTCCTCCATGTTAGCGAAGCTTGCAAAGCGGTAACTTGGTCCGTTCGGCGCGCCTCGCGGGAGCGAATTTCCAGCGGCTTGAGGCCGCAACCTCGCACCCTGGGCTTTTGCCACAATTTGACCCAATGCCATTGGTATCAAATTGTAGCGCTTAGAGTTAATTATAATTGAACAAATTCTGAGCCGAATCCGGCTTGATTTGGGCGGGCAATTTCAAAAATTTGATCCGCGCAGAAAGAGTTGTTTTTTCCGGCTCGTTGTATATATTGTGAATCGCCAGCATTCGGGGGGGCCCCCCGCGCTCATAGTGGATCTGTAGGACCTGATAGTCCTTATTGACAATGGTATGGATCCATTTCGATGGGTCGATGCGCTTGTTCACAAATAGGGCCACCCGAGCCTGCCCCTTTGGATAGAGAAGTTGGTGCGTTCGGGATGCGGGTTGGTGCGTGGTGGCATTGAATTCGTTGCGCCAGGGCTCTTGAACCGCTATAACGTCGGCCTCCAGAACCTTTTTGTCTCGTAGGAATGTCGCCATGACGACATCCTTGCTTTTGTGTGTGTTATATTGAATCAATTGGAAGCCCTCCATTAAGAAAAGTGCTTAGGAGGGGTCTTAGTGCGTGCTCGGGGGACGAATGTCACGTCCATCGGATCGTCCGCCTCGTCGTCGGCATCGGAGAGGCTTGATAAGCTTGAGTTACTGTCGATTTCGCTTTCCATGGGTGGTTCCGGCTTTGATTGGATAAGTGGTCTCTGTGGCGAGCTTCGCGGGGGGCCAATTGGCACCAGATTATCTCCTGTCCTTGGGGTATTAGTGAATTGGTTCAGAAGGGTAAGAAAGCCTGTCTCTGAGGGCTGTTCCGGCTGTAGTTCCCGGAAGCTCGCTTCGCTGTTTAATATGATGTTGTCGCCCCCTTCGTCCATAGTGATCTCAGGGAGCGGTGGAGGAAGCTGGGGCTCCCTGGTCTGAACTGGTTCCGGCTGAGTGCCTGCTTCCAGTGATCGCTTGCTAACTGGCTTCCGAAGTAATTTTTCTGGTTCGCTGAACATCTTTACCAGCTCTCCTCTGCGTTGGCGCTTTGGGGGTGCTGGGGCTGTGCTTGATACTGTGCTTTGGGTTGCCGAGAGCGCTGCCTGGATTGGACCTTCCATATCCGGTAAGGGCTCTTGGCCTGTAGATGATATTGACTTGGAGCCTTTAGGGCGGCCTCGGGGTCGGGTCGCTTTGCGTATTGTTGGCTTATCGAACACGACTCCCTGTCTCTCGGCGTCCTGTCGGCGACGTTCGATGTCAAGCGGCACTGGTGCCGTCTGTCGATCCTCACTCCTGCGGGTGGCCGGGGCATTTGGAGTGGCTATTTTTGTTGGTGCTGGCGCTGTTCCTAAGGCGGGGAAGTTATTAGTGTCGTTTTTTGGGATCCAATGTTCTGGGATCCGGTGAAGACGTTCGCAGCTGTATAAAGCCGCTTTGGCCTTTCCAACTGCTTCCTTCCTGACTGGGCAGGCATCGCTAACGGCCTTATGGGCCCCTTTGCAATTGGCACACTTCGGGGTAGCGTTCTTATCCTTGCCTTGCTTGGAGCGACACTCCCAGGTCGGGTGTCCCTCCGCGCAGATGCCACATGTAAAGTCTTTGGCTGGACACTGAGTTTGGGCGTGCCCATATCTTTGGCACTTCATGCACATCCTACACCGGCCTTCTCGGCAGTAAGGCCTAGCGGTGAGACTTGAGTGTTCCCAAACCATGCCTTTCAGAATTGCCTTGTTGGCCACGAGAGGGCTTGTAAACTCGATGACCAGCGAACAGAATTCCCGTCTTGGTTTCACTAACCAGCCTAGATATACGATCTTGACCCCTCTCCCCCAGATGTGGTGGTTCTGGGCCGCTATCCGCAGCTTGAGGTCTTCGTTCCCCTTGTCAAGGTCCATGGAGCGAGCCGGAACTCCATCGACGACTACCCCCCATGTGGGAACACGCACCCACGCATTGACTCCAAAGGCGCCAACCCAACCCTCCGCGTGTTGTCGCAAGATTTCGGCGGAGGCAGCGTTCTGGGCCCGGAGACTAATGTCTCCTGAGGGCAGTTGACGTGCGGCGATGAACGCGTGCCCCGCGAGAGCCAGGCTTGGAGTACTCTTCGCTGCTTGAGCCCTGGCTGATTCCGCGCGCTTGACAATGTCAACCGGCTTCATCTTCTTTAACTCTGACCGTAAAGTAGCATCGCGGACCTTGACCACTATCTCACTATCTAGACCGAGCTCGCTTGGGGTAACACCCGGGGTTGACGAACCGGCACTCTGGGAGAGAGGTGCCACCGCGTTCACCAGGCCTCGCTGCCACTCTCGGGCTTGAAAAGACTTCCAAAAGGAGGAAGAGTCACTCTGGGCGCTGTGTTTGTTTGTGGAAATTTCCTTCCGGATCATCTCAGTGTCCTGATGGACTTGCTCCAGCAGCCGCTGGAAGCCCGCGAGACCTTCAGGGTTGCCCACGCCGTTTTGAGCCTGGGCAGCGAATTGTTGTACCTGTTTGACGAAGCCGATAACGAATTCGTCTTGAAGCCGCTTGTCGCTATGCTCAATATAATTGAGCGTCGCTTTGGCAGCACTTGCCAGCTCCTCCATGTTTGCGAGTTGTTTACGTGTACGCTGCGGCACACGCGACGCGCTTGACTTTTCAGTCTCGGGAGGCGTTATTCCCTCTTCCCAAGCCATCGCTTTGCTCAAATCGCACAAATTTGGGCTCAATCGATAGCGCTCAGAGTTAATTTATATTGAACCAATTCTTAGCCGAATCCGGCCGTGTTTGGGCGTAGAATTTCAAGAATTCGATTCCGCGAGAAAGAGTTGTTTTTTTTGGTGAGTCCCTTGTAGATGTCTAAATGTCGCTTACTTACCTCGGGGAGCAGCTGCCGGAGCGCTGCCAGTCCTCCTTCCACGCCGTTGGTGTCGACTCCCTACTCCACCAATCCACTGCCGATTGCAGCGGCTTGATTGCGAACCCTGATAGCGGGGGTGCCAGGGCGCCATCCGGTGGCCTTCTTGGCCATCTTGTCTGCCAGTTCATTGCCTGGGACCCCCACGTGCGCGGGGATCCGGTAGAAGCGGGTGTGCCACCCCTCGCTCCCGGCGCTGTTCCAGCAGACGGGTGGTCTCGCGGGCGATGTACTACCCGGAGCCGTGGGAGGGGTGCCGGAGGTTGAGAAGTGCGCTCTGGGTGTCTGTGTAGGAGTGTAGCACC